GTAAAACAAGGCACTAAGGGGCATTTTGTTTCACAAGAAAAATATGCAAAAAACCTTGTCAAGAAATTTGATCTGGAATCCTGTAAGTTCCCAGAACACCTATCTCAACGTCAATGAAGCTGTCCAAAGACGTCAACCAGTAGACTCCACACTATATCGGAGTTTGATTGAAAGCCTTCTATACTTAACAGCCAGTCGACCAGACATTTTGTACAGTGTCGGAGCTTGTGCCAGATATCAATCAGCACCAAAAGAATCTCATTTGATTGCTGCCAAAAGGATCTTGAAGTATGTCAAATGAACTGAAAGGTATGGGTTATGGTATTCTAAGGATAGTGAGGTCAGTCTAGTTGCTTATTGTGATGCTGACTGGGTTGGAAATTTTGATGATAGAAAGAGCACCTCGGGGGGATGCTTCTTCATTGGGAAAAATTTGGTATCTTGGTTAAGTAAGAAGTAGAACTCTATCTCCTTAAGTACGACAGAAGCAGAGTATATAGCTGCTGGTGGATGCTGCACTCAACTCATATGGATGAAGCAGATGCTGTTGGACTATGGGCTAACACAAGGATCAATGATACTCTATTGTGATAATATGAGTGCCATAAACATCTCAAAGAATCAAGTTTAACACTCGAGAATGAAGCATATTGATATAAGGCACCACTTTATCAGAGATCTCGTTGAATCCAAGGAAATCGAATTGCAATATGTGCAAACTGACAAATAACTGGTAGATATTCTGACAAAGGCACTGGATGCAAACAGGTTTCAGAATCTCAGGTTTGCTTTGGGAGTCTGTCGTATTGATATATAAGTCAGTGGGCTTGGGCAGTAGAAGGGTCTTTGCTCTAAGGTTTTATCATTCGACCAAATATTGGGCCTATATAGTTTTTTCCCCCTCCGTCAAGTTTTAATCCTGTCCATTCATTTAAATTCCAAAAAGGATGAAGGACGTATCAATTTTGCTTAGCTCCATAAAAGTAGCCATACGGTTTTTGACCAGAAACATCTCTTCTGCATGTCAATCACATTAAATGTTTCATTCTCTCACCCTACACTACGAGAGTCCACTTAGCCAAATAACCTTCTCCAACCTGATCATCTTCCTCATTTCCTAAAAACAAAAAACCCAAAAACTCTCTCTCTTAGGGTTCTAAATAAAAAATCTTCCTCTCCGAGAAACCTTTTTGAAACAATGGCAGACCCTATTATTATCTTGATGATCAAGGAGTATATGAAGGATCATTCACTAGAAAATGCCTTGAAGCATGTCAAATCACTCATGTCGTTGTGCATAAAGAAGAGGCTGAAACTTAACCCTGTTATCAGAGATGATATCATTATGACGGTAATAACGAGCTATCCAGAGTTTCTGGAGGGTCTTTCAGTCGATGATACATCCTCATTGTTGGTTCTAGCCACTGATATTGAAGAAGACGTTGTTCCGGCAACTATTGCTGAACCTATGGATGGAAACAGGGATGGTGTCTTCCTAAAGTACTTTGGGCACAAAGCTCTCGAGTGGGAGTCAAATGTTCGTAACCATATTGCTGCACAAGAGTGTGCATTGGAACAAGCTCAGGACCTAGCTCGTCAATGGGTTGAGATTCTTCGAAAAATGTCTAAATCTTTTACTCCCTCTGTTTCAATTTCATCTACTGATAAGCCTTGTCATGAATCTGAGTCTGCCCTAGTTGGTTTTACTGTATCTAAGTCAAGTAAGCCTGTGTCTGATTCTGTTGTTGTTGATAAATCTACCCCTGTGCCTCAGAATGTTGTACCTGCAACAACCTTGTCTAAATCTGTTGAAATTGATGCACCTAAGTTGAATGTTAATTCTGATATTGTCATGAGTGATGTGGATTTACCTGCACCTGTTTCTGTCGCACCCACAAATGTTCAACCTGTCTCACAGTCTACCCAAATTGAACCTGAGTCTGGTATACCTGTTTTCACCCTTAAAACATCCCTAGAATTTCTTGAAACTCTTGAGCACTTTGCAAAATTGCCTACCGAGTTTGTATCCGAAGCCTCTCACATTTTCCAACCCAAGTCTGTAGATACCCCGGTTGATAAGGATGACGATCTCCTTCTGACTCAGCTCACTAAGCAAGTAGGTGACTCTGTTAGGGCCATCGTTCATGAGGAACATCTGTCTGCCACGGGCACTGCCCATCCTGAGTCCACTAGTTTCAAAATCTGAGATGTTCAGAAAATAATGTCTTCCACACACCCAGCAACCTCTGAAAATACCCACTCCATTTCCACAACTCTAGTGAATCAGTCACCAAAAAGAGAGTCAAAGAAATCTAAGAGAAAAAGCATTCCTGAGCAATTTCTAGTTGATCTTGCAACGGAGCCTGCTATTGTTCCTTGCTCTGAGAAAAAGAGAAAGACCACTGTGTCTGAGTCAAGTGATCCACCTGTTCAACAAGTGTTTAAGAATCTAAGGAGTTCTATCTGTTGGTCCCAAAAAGAGGTAAGGTGAAAGTCTAGAGGGGGGGGGGGTGAATAGACTTTCAAACTTTTTCGCACAGCACAACAATTGCTAAGCCAGAGATAAACCAAAACTCTTAACTAGATTGTTAGAGTATGGTGCACAGCGGAAATAAATAAACATAAAGTGTGTGTGAGATTGTGTGAGTAGTATATCTCGTGTAGAGCGAATATGTAAAGAGCAGTAAGTAAAGAAAGCAGTAAAGAACACAAGACAATTATAGTGGTTCGCGAGGTGGTGTAATCCTCCTACTCCACTTGCTCTTATCTCCAAGAGCAATTCACTATATCTACCACTCCTTGGTTCCAAGATACAATGAATTTCCGTGATCTAGTGCTTTGATCACAAAGCCCGCACTAATCACGCCAAGTGACACCACACTGCTGCTTCGGGTTTCACGTCGCCGCGCTACTATCCCAGGATTTCACGACTCCGCGTTACTTTCCCCCTGTCTTCCACATTCCGGTAGAAACGTATCCCGTGATCTAGTGCTTTGATCACAAAGCCCGCACTAATCACGCCCAATGCCTCCGACACTGCTGCTTTGGATCTCACAGCTCCGTGTGACAATCCAGGATTTCACAGCTCTGTGCTACTTTCTTCACTTCTTTTGTTTTGCTCCAAAACAAGTGTTGTCTTGCTTCCAACTTCTGAGACTCTATAGATGATCTTCAATGATGCGCAGGTCTCTTTGATGAAGATTAAAACACTCTGGAATGATTTCTCTTGAATGCTCTGAGTGTTTTCTCTCTTTGAATATATCAAGTAAAGCACTTGATTTTTATGCTCTGTTTTGTTCTGTTTAAGAACTCTCAGAATATTTTTCTCTTGAAGCTCTCTGAGTTATTTTTCTTTTCTCACTTCTCACTTGAAGATTTTTGGTATGCTCTGTACCAAATGAGATTTTTGCTCTATGCTCTTTTAAGCTTAATTGCTCTATTCGTTCCCCTTGATGGGTTCGAATTTTCTGCTCTCTTGTTTGTGAGTTCGTCAACTGCTCTATGCTCTTCTCTTCTTCTTCAAGTCTTCATATCTTCATCATTTTATAGCTGGTAATGAGAATCTGTCCGTTGGAAAGAGACGCTCTCATTTTTGAAATCTTGTATCTTTTTGTCAGAGATCTTATCTTATCTTCTGCAAAGATGTCAGAAAGGATAAGCTAGCCGTTGTTAGAGCTTCATCTCCATGTAAATGGGTTCCCAAACTTCATCTGATATTTCCTCTGGTTTTACGTTGAGTGGAAATATCTGGGTGTAGAACGGCTTCTCTGATTAGCTCTGAAGTGGTCCTTGTATCTTTGGGATTTAAAAATATTCTTCAATTTAATCCCATACTAGTTAAACTAGTATTTTTGCTAGTGAGAATATTTTCACTGTAAGTTCATCTTCATCTTCTTTATTCTCACGTCTGGGTGTTCTCAGACTTCACATTGGTTTTGAATTTCCACCCAATTTGAATTTCTCCTTTGTAATTGACACCCAATTTCAATTGACTTGTAATTGGCACCCAATTTGAATTTCTCCATTGTAATTGGCTCCCAATTGACTTTGACTTGTAATTGGCTCCCAAACTTCTCCCGGTGCTTTCAATTGCTTCCCAATTTGAATTATTGACTTTGACTTCGAAATTGGCTCCCAGACTTCTCCTGGTATTGAATTTCATCTCAATTCAATTTGATCTCCATGTCTTCTTTGAATCAGTCCCCAATTTGAATTTGCATCCCATACTACAACTTCAATTGGCTCCCAATTTCAATTCTACATTGGCTGCCATCTTGAATTGATTCCCATGTGAAACTTATTCCCAATTTCAATTGATTTCAATTTCTCTAAAACTAGCTCCCAATTTCAATTGCTTTGAACTAGCTCCCAATTTCAATTCCTATGAAATCAGCTCCCAATTTCAATTGCTATGAAATCGGCCCCCAATTCCTTTAAATTGGCTCCCAAGTGCAATTGCTTCTCAATTGCCACCCAATTGATTCCCATGTGAAACTTGCTCCCAATTTCAATTGCTTCGAACTAGCTCCCAAGTGCAATTGCTTCTCAATTGCCACCGAAGTCAATTGCTTCGAACTAGCTCCCAATTTCAATGGCTCCCAAGTGCAATTGCTTCTCAATTGCCACCCAAGTCAATTTCAATTTCTATGAAATCGGCTCCCAATTCCTAACAATTGCCACCCAAGTGAAATTGCTTCCCAAATTCCACTTGTAATTGGCGCCCAACTCCATCAGATTTGATTAGATTTGGCTTCTCAAATTTTACCTTGTAAAATTATTAATGGTGAGATTTGAACTTGAACCATTTTACATAACATATTAAACATCATCCACTTCGTCCATACAACTATTAATTAAATTTCCAATCTTCTTTGATGTACTCCTTTCTTTCCATAGATGCTTGATCTCCAAGTCAATTTCATGCATTCTTCCAATCTTAATTTTCTTCACGAAAATTCTTCTGGGATATCTTCTTGAGTAGCATAGACGTGAATATTGTATCATTCATCTTCTTCTTCACTTGAATCCACATACCGAATAAACACAATCATCTGCTCTTTAACTGATATATCTCTCGACTCATCAACTATTATTCCAAATAATTCTTCACCAAGATCATTGATTATTACTTGGGTTACCTCACTTGCAACTGCATTAGCTATATCTTTTTGAATGCAAGGGGCAGTCATTTGGTGATTTTCAGGTGCATTTTGTAACACTACTTTCGCAATTTTGTCATTATTATTAGCAAGTAACCTTAAAGCCTCAAGGAAGTTTCCTCGATTAAGTGAGTCATAGCTTTCATCATGTCCACGAAAAGCAAGTCCTTACCTTAAAAGAAACTGGATACATTCAACTGATGAAGTCAATCGAACACGATAGTCTTGTTTCGATTGCTCCCACTGTTTTGATACACAAACTTGTATGTGTTGCTCTTGATTCATTAAGTCTCGACAAGCTTGTACGTTCCTTGCGTGAACACTATTATGACTACCAACATGTGCTCGCAACCTTTCCGGCCCTTTTTTTCCAATTGTTGAATCCTTCTGTAACAAATGACTCCCCTCCTGCTTGTTGTCCGATGCTTTCATCTTTGAATAGATAACAACATAAACAATATATTGCATCTTCTGATACACTATACTCCAACCAATTACTATGATATTTAAACCATTTAGGATTAAACCTCCTATTGACACCCGTAATCACTCTAGTAGGAAAAACATGATTTTTTTGTTGACAAGGACCTATTTGTAGATATCTTTGCCGCACAATATCTCTATCATTGATATGATATTCATAAATGCTTTTCCTTTTAGCCGGATCAACTTCAAGTTCATCTATGTTAACTCCAATACACGGCCTACTTGTCACTTCCCGACTACCTTGACTAGATGAATCCCCAAAAGTTGATTTTCTTTTTAAGAATGTTTCCATAACTGAACCAACATAATTAAGTAATCACATCAACATAAGCATCTTATTAGACTAATTACTAATCAAGTAATCAATTATCAACAAATAACAAATAACACAAGTAAATCAACATAAGCATCTTACATTCTTGCTGGAAGTCTGGAACTACATTTACATTCTTACATCTTACATCAAATTAGCAATTAGTAATTAGACAATTAGTTAAGTACTAACAGATTATGTAATTAGTAATTAAGCAAAAAATACAGTAGACAAAAACTAGAGATTACTATTTACTAACAATCTAACAGATTAGTAATTCACTTATTCACATAGAATTAGTAATTCACATAGTGACATACTGACATAGAATTAGTAATTCACATAGATTAGTGATTAACTAGACAAAAACTACAGGCCTAAAGCAGTCAGTTGACTCAAATCAATTGAATAATTGAATTAGCAAATTAGGGCAGCGCAACAGTGTAATTCAAAGTTCCAAACTAGTATCAATTGAATTAGAAAATTAGGGTAATTTCAAATTAGGGAAATCAAGCAAAAACAAATTAGAGATATTAGGGCAAATAAAAAATTAGGGCAATTAGGCAAATAATTGAATAAATTTTTGAAATTAACATTTATAATTCAAATTGTGATAAGTTGATGTTCATTAGTAATGGAAGGGTTGAAGAACTGAAGAAAACCAAACCTGGGGATGGTGTTGAGGCGACTGGTGATGGCGGCTTCCAGAGGCGACATCGAGGCAGTGGGACTGTGGGAGGCGGTGGACCAGCAGCCGGCAGGAGTGCTGCCGTGGTGGCCGGTGGGTGCCTGGGCGGTAGCGGTGGCGACTTCCAGAATCGTAGTCTTCGCGGTGGCGACTTCGGTGATGGATGTATGGTCTGCGTAGAGTTCAGAGAACAAATGAAAAAAAAAATAAAAAATTATATATATATATATATATATATATATATATATATATATATATATATATATATATATATATATATATATAACAACCCCAAAACAACGTCATTTTGGGGCTGTATAATTTTGGGTAGTGGGGGGCAGCTGCCCCCATGTTCCCTCCGCCCCTGGTTACATGCAATTTACGTAGCAAACATTTATCATGCCACAAATAATTTAAATCAGTTTAAGAGCAATTAGGCATGTTCATAAATCATTCATGGAGATTAAATCACATATACATGAGAATTTACTTGCAAAACAAGTAACGTCCAAATTATCATGCAATTAAATCAATTAATTGTCAAATAGTCACAAATTGCAAACTATAGCAAATTGGTTTGCATGGCACATAGACACCCGTACACTACTACATGCAATTACACTAATAAACAAATTACACAAATTGCAATATAATTCACGTAAATTTCAAACAAAAACATGAACAGAATATGTTAAATAAATTATTTTGAGCACAAGTATCAATTTAAATAAGGAGATTAAGTCCAGTGATCAGGGTCGTTCAAATAAAAATTGGGGCCCTGTGCAATATCATAATTTTGGCCCTTTTTTTCATAAGTAATTTCTATATATAAATAATAGTTATGCTATTCAAAAAGTTGTATCAACATATAAACATGGCATAAAAAATACATCTAAAATTTTATTTAAAAAGCGACACGCGTCGTGCACATTTAGACGCAAAATCATCTACCAAACTTTTGATATCAACTTCTTCCAAAAGCTCATTTTTAATGGAGATTAAAGCTAATCCGTTGACTCTCTCTTGCAACATACTTGACCGTAAGTAAGATTTCAACAATTTCAACTTCGAAAAACTCCTTTCTGCAGAGGCAACAGTAATTGGGATAGTCAATAATATTCGATATGCAATAGTAGCATTTGGAAAACAACCCATTTGTTTCAATGAATTCAATATACCCAGTGCACCTATCTTTTCTTTTGATAAAATCTCTCTAAGCAATTTTAGCTCCAAATACAATTCATTTCGATCAATATCACCATACTGATCATCTCTCTTAGGAGCTGCTTCTAAACAAGTGCAACAAGACTTCAAATTGATATCAGTCATCGATTGTAACTTGTCAGAACTAAACAAAAAACCAAAAGTTCCTTCATATACTTCATATTGCTCAAACCTCTTGGTCAATGAAATAATAGCTTGATCTACAATGTATAAAAAATAATGAACTCTAAAAGATCCTTTGGGTGATAATGAAGTGTCATCAACACTCTCATCAAATTGTCTTTTTCTACGAATTTTTTGCTTTTGAGGAAACACTGGCTCAATTTCTAATTCATTGGCAATTTCCTTTGCACTATCCATGGCACTAGAAAAACCATTTTCTCTATAATTCTTGAAGAAAGAAACTAACCCTTTAATTTGATTAATAGCAACATCAAGAAGCATATCTTTTGTTTGTAATTGTTTGCTAACTAAATTAACCGCAAATAAGATTTCAAACCAAATGACTGTCGCTAGCAAAAATTCAAAGTTACTAAGCTCATTTGTCGCTAAAGATCTTGCCTCACTTTGAATTTTAGAATCACTGTCTGTATCTGCCACTTGAAGTAGGGCTTCTCGAATATCACTGACTTGATATCTAATTGCTTTGACACTTTCCACACGACTTTCCCATCGAGTAGATGACAATGGCTTAAGAGTTAGATTTATTACATTACATTTCAAGATATGCCACCTCTTTGTGGAATTAGCAAATATTGTGTAAATACGTTGCACTACTCCAAAGAAATCTCTTGCTTTCCCACAACTGTTTGCAACGTCACATAAAGTCAAGTTAAGACTATGACTACCACAAGGAGTATAAAATGCTCTACGATTTACATCTAAGAGTTTTTTTTGTACACCTTGATGTCCCCCTTTCATATTTGACCCATTGTCATAACCGTGTCCCCTTACATTATCTATATCAAGATCAAGTGATATCAACACATTTTGTAATACTTCAAAAAGACCTTGGCCAGTAGCAAGCATAAGTATCAATCGTTTTGAATATTATGACTAAGATAATGATGATGAATATCATGATTTCTAACACCTAAAACATGCTCTTGAATGATAGGATCAATTGAGATTTGAGAATTTTTTAATTGAGATTTTGGATTAGGAAATTTAATTGCCGAATTGCAGTTTTGGTAATGTCCTTATAGTCTGGCCTAATTGTCCTTTTATATATATATATATATATATATATATATATATATATATATATATATATATATATATATATATATATATATATTAGGTTTTTAAAGTAATTTGGGCTCAATTATCTTTATATAAAATAAATACTATTATTACTATATATACCTATAGTTTTATTTTTAAAACATGGGGCCCCCAAAAATTGGGGGGCCCTGTGCGGTCGCTCATGTTAGACATGCTCAGAACAGGCCCTGCCAGTGATACTTAGCTCGTTCGATCATTTTCAATTCGTGCCTTAAGGTAGCAAATCTCGTTTCGCATAATGTCCGCAACTTGATTCTCCTTAGGGATGTACTCAATTTTTAGATCTTTCTTTTCAACATGATCCCTTATGAAGTGATGTAGAATGTCGATGTGTTTGGTTCTTGAATGAAGCACCGGATTGTGAGTGATAGCAATTGCACTAGTATTATCACAATAAATACTAAAGTCATCTCAATTTACTCCGTAATCCTTCAATTGTTGCTTCATCCATAGTATTTGCGCACAACAACTTTCTGCAACAATATATTCAGCCTCGACGGTACTGGTTGCTATGGAATTTTGCTTTTTGCTGAACCAAGAAACAAGCCTTCCCCCCAAGAACTGGCATGTTGCGGAAGTGCTTTTTCTATTTATTTTACAGCCTGCAAAATTCGCATATGAAAAACCCGTTACTGTAAAATCAGTACCTTTAGGATACCATAATCCTACATTAATTGTGCCCTTTAGGTATCTTATGATCTTCTTGGTGGCTTTCTTTTCGATTACTATAGTTTCTGTTTCAGTTCGAACCGAACCGTGGTCATCCCTACATATAAGCAAGAATTTGTTGGAGAAGAAAAATAAATAAAATGTTTACTTTAAGGATAGAGATGTCAGTTTAATATATCAGGTGGGAAAAACCGCCACTTTTAGAATAATTGAGAGGGCTTATATGCTTATATGAATAATTCAGGGGGAAAATGTGCTATAAACATATAATTCAGGGGAAAAAAGTGTCATTTTCCTATTTTATTTATGCAAAAAGAAGACAATGTATTCTAAAGATAATTCTAGTATGACATTTATATTCATTTAGGGTCCGTTTGGAACCACGTAAAATGACTTCTGAAAAATATTTTCTGAATTATCAGTGTTTGGATACACTATGAAAATCTAGGCAACGGAAAATATTTTCCGTTGACTGGGAAAAATCAAGCCATTTTCCGGCAAATGCTCTGTCGGGCCGGGGTGTGGGGGCCCTTAGGGTTGGGGTTCAACCTTTTGGAAGAATGAAAATATTTTTTGGAAAATGACTCATTTTTTAGAAAACATTTTTCAGAAGTAATTTTTCTGATTTCCAAACGGACCCTTAAGGTGACGATTCAAAATATAATATCTTTTTAATGGTTGAAATCAAATTAAGTAAATATTATTATAAAAAAATTTTAAAATAAAAACTAAAAAATGATAACTTTGTAATAAATAAAGTTAAAGAATAATAAACAAAAAAAAAAAGTCAAAGAGGAAAGATGATAACTTTAAAAATATCTCATCATCATACAATAAATAAATAAAATATACTCCGTATAAGTTATCACTTATCATTATTAACTAATCTTTTTTACTCGTGATGTATAAAAAGATATTTCTAATATTTATATTTTTAAAAATAACATACAAATCCTTACTAATCAAAATCATATAAAATTAAATTTATTTATTATATTAATCCAATATAGAATGTTTACAAATATTATTAGCATTAAAGAATATAAGAAGATATATGGTGGATGCATGTACATGGTAACTGTTGGTTTTACCGCTTTTGGATGCCGCTCGGTGGGCCAACACTACCGTAAAATAATTAAACAAGGGTTTAAATTAATGAAGATTAGAGTAATGGAGAGAATAATGTAGTATTATTTCTCTAGAGTTTCGGCCGCTTGAGTGCCAGAGTTTCGATCCTTTTACACGATGATCCCGAGGAGATATTTATACTAGGGTACAAGATTCCTACTAAGAAAGTAGGGCTGACGTAGAGCCGATTCTACAAGGGAAATAGGGCTGACATAGAGCCAATTCAGTTAAGGAATCCGGCTTACTTCATACCATAACCGTCTAAACTAATAAAGGAAGCTACTTAAATAAATAAGGAGATCTCCGCGAAATCTGCCTGCTACCGCTTCTAGGTGAGTACCCAGCCGGGGATGCCCTAACTGCCAAGGAGATGCTTCGAAGGGCCGCGGTACTCGGGCGAGCACACTTCGACCGCGGAGCCTGATCGCTTGACTAAGTTCCCGAGTGGTGCCCGGTCGAGGACACACAGCCCACGGAACCTGGTCGCCCAGCCGAATCCCGCAGGGCATTCAGTTGGGGACACACCGACTACCGAGGCTGGTCGCCCAACCACATCTCATATATGAACTCAGTCGAGGACACGCCGGCTACCGGGCCTAGTTTCTTTACCCGAGCCGGCCGATCTCCGCCTGAGTAGGCACCTACTCTCGTGGACGGCCGATCACTTGAAGATGACTGACTGTGGTCTCTAGGCGCTTTACATGATGAACGAGAATCATGAGTATCATCCGCTTACTAAGTATCAGGTCATGCCCGAAGCTGACTACCTTGCCTTACACCCCTGACTAACTGTCCGATTTGGGGTATCTATCAGTAATAATAATGAAAAAGATAACAGAAGTTATAATGGTAGAAATATTTTTGTTTAAAAAATTATATAGTACAACTCTAAAAGCGCAATGTACAATAACAATAATGAAAAAGATAACGGAAGTTATAATGGTATGTATATTTTTGTTCAAAAAATTGTATAGTACAATAACTCTAAAAGCCAAAATGATTAGTATTAAAAATATAGACCTAAATTAGGGATATAACTTTGGTGGAGAGTTTTATGTTTTTAGATTAGATACATACATATGATTATATTAACATATTTTATTTTATATTCCAATTAGAAGCTTAATTAGAAATCGGGATTGTGAGCATTTTTGGGTCGGAGCGAAAACAGTAATTGTGTAGTGGTTAAATAAACATAAATACTCCGTAAATAAATTACTAAAAATTGCGAATTTAATGATAGAACCACAATATATTTGAAAGGAGCCGTTTTTGCCGGTAAACCGCCAAGCACGCATTACATTTGGATTGGATAAAGAGATCTGCCTTTTTTTAACTCTCTTCGTTTCCTTCAATTCATGATTCCTTTTCTCCTCCGCTATGGCTTTCCTGTAATCCGTAAAGCTTATGCATCCTCACTTGTGCTGTCGTACCACCGTGGCTGCGCAAAATCCTGTGGCGGCTCCTCCACCAGGTCCGCCGTTAGCATCCTTCCTCAACATGTCTCCGCCGCGCTCGCCCCTTGCGGCCTCCACGCCGTGGCGTCGGGCCCAGCTCCGCCTGCGCTCCCTCTCCGACGCTCACCGGAGGTCCACCCCTCAGAATCCGCTGCCCACCGTGAAGATCAAAGAAATGGTGGGGAATGGAATCTCCGGAATACTGTACAAGTGGGTGAATTACGGGAGGGGATGGCGGCCCCGCTGGTTCGTCCTCCAAGACGGGGTGCTCTCCTATTACAAAATTCACGGCCCCCGTAAGATCGTCACCAATGCGCAGACGGAGAAGGGCTCTCTGGTTATCGGTCAGAAATCGTTTCGTCGAATCAACAGTTCCAAAATCCCCTCTTCTTCCAAATCCCTCCGCCGCAAACCCTGTGGTGAAATCCACCTTAAGGTATTTCTTTCTATGTTGTTTATGCTATTTCCATTGAATGAGTTAAGCAATGTGTATGGTGTTTGCTTCTAAAGGCTATGTAATCTGATTGTTGTGGCATAATCTGATTGTACAACTACTCCGTGGTATTGCTATCTATATTCAATAGTCACTAGTTTCATTTCATTTTGTAACTAGTGAGTGCTGTGTTTATAGGTGTCTTCTGTGAGGGAAAATAAATCAGACGATCGAAGGTTTTCATTATATACTGGGGTGAAGACACTGCATTTGAGGACAGAGACAATGGAGGATCGAATTTCATGGGTGGAAGCATTGGTTGCAGCTAAGGAGATGTCTCCTCGACTGCCAAATGGTGAACTTCTTCTAATGACTCAAATGAATGATAATCTGGCTGTGTCAACTGAGAAGCTCAGAAAGCGACTGATGGAGGAGGGCATTAGTGAGGCTGCAATTCAGGACAGTGAGCAGATCATGAGGAGTGAATTTGCAGCTTGGCATAAAGATTTATTGCTGCTCAAGCATAAGGAGCTGGCGCTGGTTGACAAAGTGCGCCAGTTGGAGGTATGTATAGGAGTCGTTTCCTTTCCCTTCCCTTCCCTTCCCTGCTTGGAGTAGTGTGCATTGCATTTTCTCCTTGACTAATAACCCATCCACTCTGCTACTAACTGCTACCTATCCCACAATTATAGTTAAAATAAAAGCTTTTTGTCACATTCTAAATTTCAAGCTAAATTTATCCTGCTAATAATGTCTGGGTTCATTTTCACCAATTCATTATCTTGATTTTTTTATAGTTTGGTACAGTAATTCCTATGGACATCTGTTTAGTTAGTACCTATTGATCGAACATAAGCTGAGAACTTGATGGCTTCTTAGTTATAGCACAATTCTGTCTGGTCATTTGATTGTACCATTTAATCAGTGAGGATTGTAATGAACTCACTGTTGGAAGGAATCCTGTAAAACTGTTCATTACAATTGAAACTACAAATCTGGCTCTATATGCAAAACTAGCAGTAGCGTGAAAACATCCTAGACTCAGGTCATTCGTGGAT